TGCTTTTTTTTTTTTCTTTAGTTATAAAGTATATATAGTACACACCCTTGGAGGAGTGTGTATTATAATCTTTCCTTACCTTACAGAAAATACTATAGTGCACACCTTTTAAAAGGTGTGTGCCCTATATGCATTTTATAATTAAAAAAATTGCATAATTTTAATTTTTTGAGTCATAATTAAAAGAAAAAAAAAACATGTCATAACTAAACACAACATGAGACATAACTAAAGAATTTATGAGTTATAATTAAAATAATGTCATAACTAAAGAAAGAAATTGGTCATAACTAAAGAAGAAAATGACATAATTAGGAGTGCATATAATACACCATTTTTAAACGGGTATATATTAGAATTTAGATGTATATAAGAATTTCCCTTACCTTATTTATACAAATGGAAAATTCTACTACAAACACTCTCTACCATATGCACTCCACAGTTATGTTATTTTCTTTTTTAGTTATGATTTTATTTTAATTATGACTCATAATATATTTAGTTATGCCTCATGTATTGTTTCGTTACGATTTTATTTATTTATTTATTATTTTTAATTATAACTTAAAAATGTAAAATTATATTATTATTTTCTTTAATTAGAAAATATATACCGTACACACTCTTTGAAAAAAAATGTATATCATACTCTTTGGGTGTGTTTGATTGGGGGGATAAGGGGGGATTATTAACTATTCGGATTGTAATTTGGGGGAAGCATCCAATCCGACATTTGTTTTTTTTTTAGTCCTATATGTGGGTGAGGAGGTTGCAAACCTTCCAAGTTGGGTGGATGGTATTTGGGGGACTATACTATCCCGCTTGAGTATTTGGATAGTTTTGGGGGGACAATTTACTGTTGGGATTAGGTGGTAAAATGACTATTTTGACCCTCTACTATTTAATTATGTATTATATTTAGTAAAATTCAATAAAATTTAAATGTCTCAATTTAAAAATAAAATAATTTTATTTAACTTTTATTGATGTTTTATTTATTTATTTTTAAATAATTTTTCATAGATATTTTATTGATGTTTTATTTATTTATTTTTAAATAATTTTTTATAGATATTTTATTGATGTTTTATTTTAAAATTTTGTTTATATTTTATTTAATTTCATTATTTAAATGTTAATATATGTTTTATTTAATTTTATTGTTTAATTATTATTATTTTTAAAAACAAATTTATTTAAAATTTTAATTAAAAAAATAATATAAATTTTTATTGATATTTTATTTATTTAATTAATTTTAAAAAAATAAATTTATTTAATTGTGTAAAAAATAAAATAAAATAATTTTTTTTTTAATCTAGCTAAAAATAATTAAAATATTCAAGATATGTTTAATATTGCTATTACTTTGTAAACAATTGAAAAATGATAAAATAGTTTTTTGTTCATTTATCATATCCAGTTCGTCCAACCAAACGTTGAATTTACTAAAAATAGTCATTTCCAGACATCTAATCCCATGAAAAAACAAATACAGGATACATATCCAATCCAACTAAATAATCCAGAGATTCACAGTCCTAGAACTCAAGTCTGATGGATTCTAATCCCCTTATTCCGTCCGTCCAATCAAACAAATCATATGCGTTTAAAAATGTTTCCATTGTACGGCCGAAGTATGTCATAGCATAAAGCGAATAAGAAAGTACTGATAGAACAAAAAGTGCCCAATTTTGTAAAAGAAGAATGATTTAGACATCTAAAAAAAACGCCTCTGATGGAACTCTAATTTGTCTTTTTCTTCTTATTTTTTGTCTTTTACTTCACTATTTTTTTTTTATTTATTCCTAGACAGCTCATTAGAGCTGTACGGCAAAAGCTCTAATTAGAGCTCTGCAACAGCTCCCTTTTGTAAAAATGAAAAAGGACTAGATTTTGTGAATAGGTGTTTTAGAGTTCGCTGGGAAAGTATTTTTTGGTTTTAATTATTTTAATTTAGAATTAAAAAATTTTATTTGGAACAATTTTTTTTTGTTTTTTTAAATTTTTGTGAGATAAAAAATGAAATAATTATAGATTAGATGTGATGTTTTGTCTTATTAAGCTAAAAAGTCTGTTTTATCATTTTATGACTAAAATAGCCCTAAACTCAACCCAACTCTTCTTTCTAAACGATTGCTTAATGGTGTAATTAAATTGCATTTAACTGAGAAAATAATAAAAATAGGACTCAATTTTGTGAATAAATATTTTAATAGTGTAATCAAATTATGTATTATATCTATCTATCTATCTATCTATTTATCTAAGTATATTATTGAAATAAGTCTTGTTTTAGATTTTAAGGCCTCGTTTGGAAACATATTTTTTTAGTAATTTTTTGATTTTTTGGCTAAAATATGATGTAAAAAAAATTAGTATGTTTTGGATGATTTTTTAACTTTTTACGAAAAGTTGTGCAAAAAGTAGAGAGAAAAGAGAATCTTTGATTTTTTAGTATAAGTTGTTGACTTTTTGACTTTTTAATAACTTTTTGACTTTCTGACTAAAAAAATCACTTACCAAACGAGGCCTAAGTAATCATTATTATTGCATGACACATTGTTTAATAGAGAATTTTACTAAAAAATATTGCTTTGTGTAATATTTTCTTTCTCAAATTGTAAAAAATAAAAACAAACAAATTATTGACGTGTGCCATTTTGGGGTTGGACAAAAAGTATAGTTCAACTTCTTGGAAAATCTCCCATGAATTTCTATTTGTTTATACGAAAGGAAACAAATCTATAAAACATGAGCCTTCTTGGGAAATCACTAATGACTTTCTATTAGTTTATAAGAAAGGAAACAAATCTTTACAACCATATTACATCATTATGGAGTCATGTTTTAAGAATTTTCAATATTAAACAAAAACAAATTATTACACAAGCCCATCTTACAAACTTAAGAAATTCTCTCATGACTTTCAATTTATTTTTAGAAAAATATTATACAAATAAACTTTTCTCATAAATTATTTTACAAAGGGTTTATTGGTGATAAGTCTATTTCTACAATAGATATGGTATTAGGTCAAATAATTGATCTTTTATGAAGATAAGACGGACATATAAGTAACGTGGACAAATAGATAGATAGACAAGGATAATATGATTTTTAAATTATGCTGTCCTTTTGGCTTTAAAATAATAGAGTTTGGGATTATTGTCTCAAAATTTTTAAAATTAGACCTATAATTTGCGTCCCCTTTTACAAACTAATGTGTCATATAATAATAAAATTTTAAAACTTGAATAGGTCAATTGAAAATATTGAACACAGCTTGTCTTCATCTCTTAGGGAGTTGGGATCTTAAGTTCCACAATTAGATTCATTTTGTTGATTAGAATCATTTATCTTATGAGTCACAATTGTAGATTATTTATGAAGTCCTTTATGCTATAAAATCATAATACCAGGGACCTTAAAAAAAAAACCCCTAGAATCATTTATCTTATGAGTCACAATTGTAGATTATTCATGAAATAATGTTATAATAATTATCTATTTGTGTCCTTTTATGTTATTATTTGATGTGCTAGTTTAGTTGTTAGCACCCATAGAACGCATTATACTAATATTATTAATATTGTATTATGGCATGCATAAGATGATTTAATATATAAATATAGTTTCAAGTAATTTTCCTATTTGTTAAACATTATTAATCTATCAAAATATTTTTTTTGAGATTTTAGTTTAGGGTTGACTTTTTAGTACTTTCTTTTTTATTTTTAATAAATTTTTCAAAAGAAAAATATTCAAAAATATTAAAAATATTAGAGAGTCACACTTTTAAACTTACAAATTTACCTCCAATGATATGACATGAAAATTAGGTTCTATATTATTGGATAGGTAACAAATCAAAAGTTGACAAATATCATACCACATTATTGCCCATTTTTTTTTGTGTCTCAAACATTTTTTTAAAAATATTTATCTTTTTAGATTTTACTCAATTAGATAAATTACCAAAGTAAAAAAAAAAACAATAATAATTCACTAAAGATAAAATAAAATAAAAAAAGAATTTTCGAATCTTTTAAAATTTTGAATTTTTTTAGATTTTACTCAACTAGATAAATTAGAAAATTTCAAAAAAACAAAAAAAACATTTTTTTTGAATCTTTAGTAACCTTTTGAATTTTTTAATTGTTAAATCATACTTGTTGAGACAAATTTTAAAAAAAAAATCACCAAAAATAAAAATATTTCCAAATAAAAAAAAAAAAACTGTTGAATTTTATAGGTTTATCTTTATCCCAAAACTCTGGTGACTTTTCAATCTAACAGTATTAACGAAGATTATTCTTTCAGATGACGAGGCTGATGAGTCCAACTGCTACAGTGCTACTGTGATGGAGTTTGATAAGGAATTAGGATCTGTCAATTAATATATTAATTGATGATATGACATAATTTATAAGATTTTTTATATTTATAATGTGATTAATGGATGAGGTCAATAATAATATCATAATTACTTGTCATACTAATGTGTATATTAATTGGTGCATGTAGCACTACCGTTTTGGTATTTGTAATTTATATAATGAGTGGGGTTAATAATAATATCATAACTAGTGTTGACACACTAATTAGTACATTAATTAGTGCATGTAGCACCACCAAATAAATAATGAATAATATTATATGCACTAATTAATATACTAAATAGTGTACTAATTTAAAAGATTTTTAGGATTTATAATGTGATTAATGAGTGAGATCAATAATAATATCATTTGATACAATAACTAGTGCACTAATTGGCCTATATTGCATCACCGATAAATAATTAAACAATAATGATATATACATTAATTAATGTACTAATTAATAAGTGATATAATTATTTTTTATATTTATAATTTATATAATAAATAAAATATATAATAATATAATTATTAATTTTAATACAGTAATTAATATATGTAGTACCAATATAATTAAATATTTTATATAGGGTTGGAAACCAAATATACCCGACGGTAATTCTCGCCGTTTTTCATTCTCTTCTCCCTCTTTTCCTAACCATTTCATTTCCCTGGAAAAAACCGACACCTCTCTCCTCTCTCTCTCCGTTAAAAAGCTCAAGCACTTTCCAATGGTGTTCGTCACTTTCTACCCTAACTCCTCTGAATCATATCTTCTTCAATCATACCATTCCAACACATCAATCATATTCGTATCTGGGTTTTTTTTCTCGATTCAGAAATGTCACAGAATCGAAGCTTCCAAGACGGTTCACAGCACCAATCAACAATGGATTCTGCTTTTACAAGGTAATAATCGCCACGCATTCATCAAAAATTTGAAAAACATATATGAAATCTGAACTGGGTTTGGCTTATTTTAGCGAAAATTGTTGTTAGAGTGTAATTTGACCATGCAATTATTGATCGTCTTTGTGTGTGTTTCAGGTTGCAGCAAGGGTTGATGATGACCCCTGAGTCTGAGATCCAGCATGTCATAGAGCCATTTCTCGAGCCTTTGGTTCTTAAAATCGTAAGTGAATTTTCATCTGCCAATAAGGTATTTATTGATTGGGTGTGTTGTTAAGTCGTTAAGGCTGTGTTCGGTTGGAGGTTTGAAAATGAAATTAAAAAGAAAAAAGAAAAGGTGTGAGAAATTAATTAAAATATAGATATATTTTATTTATATTTTACTCTTTTTATTTTTTTTTCTTTTTAAATTTCTTTTCAAATCGTATTTCACATATCTTTTTTCTTTCACTTTTTAAAGGAAAATTTACCCATAAGTCCTATCAACCTCTTCCAAAGCCTTTGGAATCAGCTCGTGGCCAGAACCTGCATCATGCTCCCACCTTTAATGGGGCTAACTATCTGTATTGGAAAATCAGAATGAGGGCGTTTCTCAGAGCTTTTGAACCAGAAGGTTGGCAAGCCATTGAAGAAGATACAGAAAGTGCAGATAATTCGGGCAATCTGAGAGCCCTGATCATTATTCGTGGAGCAATCTCTAATGAAGAACAACAACGGGTTGTTCACTGCACAAAGGCTAAAGATGCATGGGAAATTCTGAGCCAATTCCATGAAAGAAGAGATTCACCTCCACCTCCATCCAGCAACTTGTCTGTCTTGGTTGCTAAATTGGATGAGATCAAGGAGAATGAAGAGCTAAGAGAGGATGATGAAACATCTGAAGACATGGATGAGATCAATGGCGAAGAACTACAACAAGCTTACGAGAAGCTGTACGAGGAATCTCTGAATTTGTCTAAAACCAATGACAAACTCTCTCTTAAGCTCAAAATATGTGAAAGTGAGAATGTCCGGCTCAAAGGAGAACTCTTGACAGCAAAACAGAATGTCATTAAGATCTCGAGTGACAGGCAAGACTTATGTGAAAAACTTCTATCCTGTGAAACTGAAAGGAATGAACTTCTGAAGGTGTATTCCACATATGAAGAAAAGCTTGAAAGTCTTGAGTTGTCACAAGCTGCATTGGAAGAGAAAGTCAGTCAGAAAGATGAAGAACTCCGTATTGCTAGAGCAACAATTTCCATGTGGAACAAAGGTTCCAGATCTCTAGAAGACATACTCGGGTCTCAACAAATGGGTTCTGACAAAAGAGGCTAGGCTATGGTGCGACAGCTCACAAAGGACAGGCCTCTACCTCTCAGAACTTGAAGACTCAAGCAAAAGGAAAACTGAAGATAGACCAGGTTGATCCTTCACTTCATCAAGCAAAAGTAGGTAAGATCAACAAAAAGGAGGTAAAACCTGTTTTTATTTGTCATCACTGTGGTAGGTATGGCCACATTTGTCCTTACTGTTTTGAATTGTTTGGTAAGGTGTCTCAAAAGGGTAGGAGTTTTAATACTTTTTGGGTTAGGAGATAACCTTACATGTCTAGGCAGAACACCAAGACTAAAAAGATTTGGATTAGAAAAGAGGATTTGACTTGTTTTGTTGCTCACACTGCTCTAAAAGCACGTGACTCACACATGTGGTATCTTGATAGTGGGTGCTTTCGTCATATGTCCGGTAACAAATCCTACTTCACCTCCCTTGAAAAATATGAAGGAGGAATTGTTACCTTTGGAGATGGCGGCACTTCGAGAGTCATTGGTAAGGGCTCTATAAGTGTTGCTGGTCTTCCCAAGCTAGATAATGTTCTACTAGTTGATGGTCTTAAAGCAAATCTTTTAAGCATTAGTCAAATGTGTGATTCCCATCATGAAGTATTGTTTTCAAAAAATAAATGTGAAATTTTGGATAAAAAGGGAAATACTGTATTACATGGGGTTCGCACATCTGATAACTGCTATGGGATTCTTACGACTAATGATCTTACTTGTCATTCTGCCACCATAAGTAACATTGATCTGTGGCATCAAAGGTGACAGCCATTGAGGAGGCTCAGAATGTTGATACCCTCAAGCTCGATCAATTGGTTGGAAATTTGCAGACTTATGAAGCCCACCAAATTTCTAAGAAAAAGCAAAAAGAAAATATGGCTTTCACGAGTGCCCATGAGACTGCAAAACCTCTGGAGACTGAATTTGATTTAGAGTCTGAGATGACGGCTATGCTTACAAAACAGTTTAAAAATTTTTTGAAAAAGAAGCCGAATTTCAGAGCCCCTATTTCAAAAGATAAGAGTAATGACAAACCCAAAACTGTTCCACCAAAATTTGCTCAAACTACTGAAAAAAAAAAATTGTAAGGGGACCAGGGGTCAAGTGTTATGAATGTCAAGGGTTTGGCCATATGTCTCTTGAATGCCCTTCGAAAAAGAATCGGAAGAAAGTCTACACCGTAACTTGGGATGATGAAAGCCGGTCGGAGCAAGAACCCGAAGAACCTGAATCCGGTGAAGATGGGGATAGTGCATTCATGGCATTTTGGGCCACGGTTTCTCAACCTCTTCCAAAGCCTTTGGAATCAGCTCGTGGCCAGAACCTGCATCATGCTCCCACCTTTGATGGGGCTAACTATCTGTATTGGAAAATCAGAATGAGGGCGTTTCTCAGAGCTTTTGAACTAGAAGGTTGGCAAGCCATTGAAGAAGATACAGAAAGTGCAGATAATCCGGGCAATCTGAGAGCCCTGATCATTATTCGTGGAGCAATCTCTAATGAAGAACAACAACGGGTTGTTCACTGCACAAAGGCTAAAGATGCATGGGAAATTCTGAGCCAATTCCATGAAAGAAAAGATTCACCTCCACCTCCATCCAGCAACTTGTTTGCTTTGGTTGCTAAATTGGATGAGGTCAAGGAGAATGAGGAGCAAAGAAAGGATGATGAAACATCTGAAGACATGGATGAGATCAATGGCGAAGAACTACAACAAGCTTACGAGAAGCTGTACGAGGAATCTCTGAATTTGTCTAAAACCAATGACAAACTCTCTCTAAAGCTCAAAATATGTGAAAGTGAGAATGTCCGGCTCAAAGGAGAACTCTTGACAGCAAAACAGAATGTCATCAAGATCTCGAGTGACAGGCAAGACTTATGTGAAAAACTTCTATCCTGTGAAACTGAAAGGAATGAACTTCTGAAGGTGTATTCCACATATGAAGAAAAGCTTGAAAGTCTTGAGTTGTCACAAGCTGCATTGGAAGAGAAAGTCAGTCAGAAAGATGAAGAACTCCGTATTGCTAGAGCAACAATTGCCATGTGGAACAAAGGTTCCAGATCTCTAGAAGACATACTCGGGTCTCAACAAATGGGTTCTGACAAACGAGGGCTAGGCTATGGTGCGACGGCTCACAAAGGACATGCCTTTACCTCTCAGAACTTGAAGACTCAAGCAAAAGGAAAACTGAAGATAGACCAGGTTGATCCTTCACTTCATCAAGCAAAAGTAGGTAAGATCAACAAAAAGGAGGTAAAACCTGTTTTTATTTGTCATCACTGTGGTAGGTATGGCCACATTCGGCCTTACTGTTTTGAACTGTTTGGTAAGGTGTCTCAAAAGGGTAGAAATTCTAATACTTTTTGGGTTAGGAGACAACCTTACATGTCTAGGCAGAACACCAAGACTAAAAAGATTTGGATTAGAAAAGAGGATTTGACTTGTTTTGTTGCTCACACTGCTCTAAAAGCACGTGACTCACACATGTGGTATCTTGATAGTGGGTGCTCTCGTCATATGTCCGGTAACAAATCTAGCTTGGTTCTATTATTCTATTAAATCATTTGATTTCATATGGTATTTTTGAATGAGCAGAAATGGAGAATGGTTCAAACAGTGCTAAGAATCCTTTATTAAATCAGAGTGAAGAAGTTGAGGAACCGAAGAGGGGTATGTGTTTTAGCTCAAAGCAAGAAGTGCATTCATTTTATGCGAAATATGCGAAACATGTTGGATTTTCCATAGCTTATAAAACTCAAGTTTGTGGCGATGATAGGGAATTAAGATATTTTGGGATTGAATGTTGGATTCTCCATCTTTGTCTACAAAAATTGATTGCAAGCAAGGGTACGGGCAACCTTACAAAAGGATGGGAGATTTATGTTAACCACAGTTAACCTTGACCATAACCATGACTTGATTCCCACCAACTCACGTCATTTTGCAATGAATAAGAAAATTCTTACTCCTATAAAGAGAAGATTAGAAATTAATGATCAGGCAGGGATTGGGGTGTCTAGAAATTATCACTCAATGGTTGTTGAAGTTGGGGGTTATGAGTCATTAACATTTGATGAGCGAGATGCACGAAATTACATTGACAGAGCTAGAAAATTAAGGCTTGGAGAAGGAGATTCCGATGCACTTAAAAAATATTTTTTGAGGATGCATGCACAAAATTCGAGTTTCTATTATATGATTGATGTTGATACTGACTTTCGCATAAGAAACTTGTTTTGGGAGGACGCAATGAGTCAGGCGGCTTACAAAGAATTTGGAGATGTTGTTTCATTTGACACAACTTACCTCACTAATAAATATGATATGCCATTTGCTCTGTTTGTAGGAGTTAACCACCATGGACAGTCGATTTTGCTTGGTTGTGGCCTGTTATCTAGTGAAGACACTGATACATTTGTTTGGCTATTCAAATCATGGTTAAATTGCATGTCAGATCATCTCCCAAAAGCTATAATAACTAATCAATGCAAAGCTATGCAAAATGCAATAGAAAAAGTCTTCCCCAATACTCGATATCGATGGTGTTTATGGCATATCATGAAGAAAATTCCGGAGAAATTGAAAGGGTATTCCCAATATGAATCCATGAAGATGGATTTGCAAAATGCAGTGTATGACACATTCACAAAAGATGAATTCGAGATGAAATGGAAAGACATGATTGCAAAATTCAATCTTTATGAGAATCAATGGTTGGGGGTGTTATATGATGAGCGACATCAATAGGTTCCTGTTTATGTGAAAGATATTTTTTGGGCTGGCATGTCAATGACACAACGAAGTGAGAGTATGAATGCCTTTTTTGATGGATATGTCAACCCAAAGACTACATTAAAACAATTTGTTGAACAATATGACAATGCCTTGAGAAGTAAGGTAGAGAAAGAGAAGAAAGCTGACTTCAAGTCT